TGCTACTGCTACTGCTGCTCTGCTACTCTGCTACTACCACTGCCACTGCCACGGCTAGCACCACTGCTACTGCTACAACGATGATCACCACCATCACTGCCACTACAAGTGTTCCGACGACGAATAAAACTAACAACAAGTCCTACTAGTGAAAGTAGCACCAACCCTAGGGTTCCAAATGGAATGTGGCTTGCTCCGATGGCTTCAAATGGTAAGTCACTGCCTGAGGCCCCTGCTTCTTTTGTAAACGCTACACCTCTTCAAGCCGAAACCCTACAGAGATATTAGCCTTATAACTCCTGACTTCGCGATCTGGGTTTAGGAGAGTCTCTGGCTCGTAACACTTTTCTGCACTACCCGGCGACACGCTCTAGTAGCACAGCCACGCTGTCTCGATCCCGGTCGACATACTCCTGGCATGCGTGTCCGGTTTGGAGTCACTGGGCATGCTTGAAGCAGCTTACGGGATCTCTTTTGGCGGCGGCTGCTTCAGGCGATCCTGTTGTTTGAAACGACATTTTGGGTCTGGTGATCTCTGCAGAACTGCCTTGTGCCCTATACTCTATACTTTCCAAGACCTTTCACCGCACCTCTTTGAAGTCCAATACCGTATATGATCTTAGCAGCAAGCAACAACAACAGAATAACGACGGAGTATGAAAACACGGCATGGTGAGACCCAGAACAAACCCTACAACCGCAAGCACTCAGAAAGACTTCAACCCCTATGGAACCCTGACAGCACCAATATTGAACCAAAAAGCCGAATCCCCGCCTCCTTCCCAAAAAAATCCTAGACCAGTATAATCCCGAAAATGTTTCCACAGCATGGAGCGAGAAAAGGCCTTCACCGCAGGCCATCGATCCTCCGAACACTGCATCTCCTCAGGAAACTTTTTTGGGGCTGTATAGCACGGTCTGTTGGCTGGTGTTGGAAAGAATTGTAAGGTTTTCTACATGTTTTTTCACCGGTTTCGTGCTGTTCTACAGGATTTCAGAAAGTTTTCACTGGAGGGTTTCCACAGTTTGGGGTTCAGGGTGTTGGGTTTGGAGTTCAGGGTATAGGGTTTGGTCTGGGGCTGTGGGTTTAGGGTCATAGAGCATCGGGTTCAGGCTGGTGCCGGTTCTACTAGGCTGGCAGACAACATAAGTTTGTATTTCTCCCTCTCTGGCAATGCAGAGTTCAGCCTTATGGGCGCAGAAGTTGCTGTTTGCGAGTTTACTGTTCAAAGCTGTTGTTTTCCGTCCTTGAACTCCAAGTACGCTGGCAACCGGGACTTGGCGATGTCCAGCGCCGTCAGGCCTGGCTTGGGGTTGAAGGATTGCCGTTTTGGGGGTGTCGGCTTCATGGTGTAGGATCCGTTTGTTTGCAGGTTTTCGCCATTTCGGGTCGTGGATGGTGCACAGAGGGGGTCGTGCTTTCAGCTTTCTAGGCCTTGTCACGTTCAGGGCTTCATGTGCTCTGAAGGTGTGCGCCTGAATAAGTCGAATAAGCCCTTGCGGTTAAGCTACCACATGCATAGGAGGATCCGAAAGGGGTCAGGTCGGCTCCTGTGAAACACTTGTGGCCCAATACGCCTCAATTACGGAACCCCTGATGCTCCAAGTGGTGATCTTCTCTCTTGTGTGGGGTTCTTGTACCAAGAGTCCTGCAGCTTAAGATCTATATAGCTGTACGACTTTTTCCTGAAAATCCCATACCCACCTGCCGTGCTTACAGTAAGTGATGAACAACAAGTTCTGCGAAGATGTCCTAAGAGCTGAACACCCTAAACCCTAAACCTTGAATCCTGGAGTCTCACGCTCTAGACTCTAGCTCATCGGACTCAAAGCCGCCTGCCGCGTCCTTCAGGGTCGGATCAGCTCGGAGAGACAGGAGGACCTCTACAGCCTTCCAAGAAAAAACGGTGTGATGTCCAAAAGAGTTTAGGGCTTAGGGTGAATGTGGCTACCCTTCTTGAGGGATCTCTCTGACTAGCGAGGATCCTGCTTTAACTCTTAGAGTGTGGGGCGACTTTGTGATGTCCAAGAGAGGTATTCCAAAGTGCAACGTAGCGTGCGACATGCGGCCGAGGACTGCTTGGTTGTCCACTCAAACAAAGCAAACAAGCCACAAATGAGAGAGAGACAGGGCCGTCAAAGTGAGATGCCCAAGGTGAAGGCCCGCCGAACATGTTGGGGTTGGGGGGTGGCAGGCTTTGAAAACTCTTGGCCTTCTACTTCAACCCTCGAGAGCGAAGGCCGGACGTCAGGATTGGGAATCCATAGCTTTCAGAGTTTCTGGGTATAGTTCCTGAATCCCTATCAACGTTCGAAGTTTCTTATAAGGGTTCCATAAACGTTCCTAAAGGGGCCCAAGGTCTATGCGGAGATGTCACGAGAAGTTTCCCGGAACTGCCCTAAACAACCCCAAACACCAATACCTTCAACTTCAACCTGGCGCCAACCGGTATCTTTGTTGCTTAAGACCCCTCTTCCAATTGCAGGCGTCCCAGGCAAACGCCTTCAGCATCGGAAGCGTTCCAACTTAAGCTTCTCAAAGTAGACCCCCTGGAACCCAAACGGCCTTAAATAATGACCCCCGCACCCGTAAGGACCCTGAACTCCAAAGCCATGCTGGTCCTGCAAAATCCTTGCAGGACTCCCATAAGAACTTCCCTGAACCCTAAACTCTACACCCTAAACCCCAAGAACCTCATCCGCGAGAAACTCAAGCCCGGCGAGCCTCAGCGTTGCCGAAGCGAGCCGCCTCATATCTGGAAAGGAGCCCTGAACCCCAAAGCAGCCTCAACGACAGTGACGGAATCCATGCGGAGTTGATTATCATGAAGCCAATATTTGCAACAAAAAACATGAATGACTATATATATACACATGATATACACATATATGCACATATAGACACATATACATACCGACATGCCCGCACACATTTCCTCATGGGCACCAGTTGCTCTAGACCCGATCCCTTCGCAGCCTTGGAGCCTGAACCCAAAGCCAAGAAAGCCGAGAAAGATAAAGCAAAAACGACCGCACCCACAAGACACACCAAAACTGTGAAGGAGCCTGATGCTCCACATCCTTGAGCCCCTGAAGCCTACACCCTCAACCCTAAACCCAGACCCTTAGCCCGAAGCCTAATCCCCAGTCCCCAGCCTAATCTCGTAAACCCCTAAAACCCTAGAACCCTAAACGCTAAAGCGCCGAAACTTGGGGTACCCCAAGTTTTCTAAACCCTAAACCGTGTAAAATGCCCGGAGACCTCCATGAGAGGCGTCAGACCGGAGCTTGGCACCTGAGGCAAAGACCGAGGCTTCCGGTTTGCAATTTGGGTTTTCAGGTTAGGGGACGTAAAGGGCTTTGGGTTTAGGGTTTAGGGCTTAGGGGTTTAAGGATTTTTGGGCGTAGGGTTTCAGGGCTTCAGGGGTTTAAGGCTTAATAGTTTGGGACTTAAGATTTTGGAGCCTCGGTTGAGGGCTTGTTACTCGTACTGATGAGACGACTGAGCAGACGGCACAACCACATATGTATATATATATATACACGTCCCAGAAGAACGAACCCAACACTACCGTTACACTACACATTCACGGGGCTCGCGATGCATCGGCATGCTCTCTTCGCCCCGCCGCCTCGCAGCTCGGGCCGATGACACTGGCGGCGTTGTTTGCTTAGCACCAGCAAGGTGTTGGACATTGTCACAACTGGCTCAGGAAGGCAAACTACGGGAATTGCACTAGCGGCAGCGGGCCCAAAATGTGCCGAACCTTGCTTACCAGCCAGCCTGTGAAAGGTCCAACGCACGGCAGCTGTGAAAAATGCCACAGCTTTTCCCGCAAGCTGGTGTGCGGGGAGCAGAGCCGCTTGCAGGCAGCACCGTTCTGATCCAGCGTCTTCCTCGGATCCGCGTGAGTTGGTCAATCTGAAAGTTTTGGGCGAGGACCGGGCGGGCACCCTTCTATGATGAGTGTGCTTCGGTGTAATGTGCTCTTGTTTGCATTTTTTCTCTGACTTGTGACTTCGGAGCGGCCTGCTTAATGCTGCTGCTTAATTGAAAGCTGCTTGCTCCAAACGGCTTCTTACCAATTGCAGCTGTCAACAATCTTGTTGACTTCCGGGTTGCCTCTCTACGATAAAACCGGTCTGCACTTAGACAGGACTCTGCTCCAAGAGGACGATTCTCGTCTGTTCGGAAGGGACCAAGTGGAAAGGACCCCATTGCATGGCTTGCGAAGCAAAGTCCAATTTACACAACCGACTCAAAATGCTACTATGAATGCTGCATACCACCTTGTTGTCTTTGTGAAAGGGGCACCAACGAAAACTCGACACTTGATTTACGACTGGCGGCTCCCATCGGTTCAGGATCATGACGATGTGCTCTGCCAGGGTCAGGCCCTCGAACCAGGGCGCGTACGTGGCGCGGTGCCCTGTCCATGCCGGGACACGCTTGAACTAAGCCCTCGTGAATTAGCCTCCGTTCCAACACACGTACCACATTTCAATCTACGGCTGCCCTGCTCCCAATGCATTGACTGCATGAAACGAAACACGTCCTAAGCAAAGCTGCGCGGGATGAGGCACATGCCTTCGGGGTGGAGAGTGCCAAACGCCCCGGCAGCAAAGGTCCATTGGACCTTCCTCCAGTTGGGCTGCTCCAGACGCAGATCTGGGCAAGCCGCCCACGCCGTCCTGGAGTGGACATACCAAAAATGAGCATGTTGGGTCTGAACCCACCTTAGATACGGCACCTAGCCACGTTCTGCAACCAAGGTGCAGGTTCGAGAGGCGCCAAAACCACAGCAACACCAAAAGCTGCAGTTTGCGGCTGCGGGCTCTCTTCAAAAGCTTTGCGCAGGCGCCCACCAATGGGATGAGGTGGATACGTCGCTTCGAGGGAGTGCAGCCGTCCCGCCACGCCACAAAGGCCCGCAACTGCTTCTTCACGAATCGCGGGGCCTGCAGAAGTTCAATGTCGATCACAGATGACATCGATTGTGTTGTTTGCTTGGAGATCTTAAGCTTTGTTATTGCTGCCTCTTCAAGGCGGTAAATGGAATGCCGACTGAAGAATATGACTCCGAAACGAGAGAGAGCCGTCATGCTCGTGCTAAGCATGATCAAACCGACATTGGTTTCATGATCATGATCATCATCATCACCGTCATCATCATCATCACCATCATGGAGAAAAGATGATGGTCGTCACCGCCACCTGCTGCCGTCATCGCTATCATCATCGGTAGCAGCTGAGAACAAGTATTGCGTTTCTCATGCCTGTTCTGTCAGCAGTATCATTATATAATAGCGACGATGATGGCGACGATGGCGACGATGGCGATGATGATGATGATGATGCTGATGGTGATGATGATGATGATGATGACGATGACGATGACGATGGTGACGATGATGATGACGAAGATGACGATGATGATGATGATGATGATGATGGTGCTGATGGTGCTGATGGTGCTGATGGTGCTGATGGTGCTGATGGTGCTGATGGTGACGGTCATGGAGATGACGACGATGACGATACCGATAATGAAAATGATGATGGTGGTGGTGATGATGGTGATGATGGTGATGATGGTGATGATCGTGATGGTGATGATGACGATGGTGATGGCAACTATGATGGCGATGGCGACTGTGACGGTGAAGTTGGTGATGTTGGTGATGTTGGTCATGTGGGTGATGTGGGTGATGCTGGTGATGATGGTGATGTTGGTGATGTTGGTGATGGTGACAGTCATGATGTTGGTGATTGTGATGGCGATGGTCTTGATGCTGGTGATGGCGATGGTGATGGTGAGGATGATGATGACGATGATGACCTGGCAATGAAGACGACGATGACGATCCCGATGGCAGCGATGGCGATGGTTCGTGATGGAGCGCTGAGCTTCAGGTTTCCGGCTTCACCATTGCAGTTTTCGAGCTCAGAGTGCAAAGTCTTTGCGACTTATCTTTTCGACGAGGTTCCACGGACACTCTAAAAATTCGGGGAAGTTCAGGGATAGATGCCCCCGGATTTGCTATGTTTAAACGAATTCAGCTCAATGCCGTCAGCACTCAACCGTATGCCCGAATCCGTGAATCCTAGGTCCTTTATCACATGCTTGGTGAAGCATAGCTTGGCCTGGAAGTTCACATCGAAGTTCCGCCTGTCACAGAGACCCTAGAGTTTAGGGCTTGGGGTTTAGGGGCTTGGGGTTTAGAGTCGCGGGGGTGCTAAATGCCTGAACACAGGGCACCGGGTTTCGAGCACCCCTGCTAAGTATTCGTCTTCTTTTCTCGTCGTTCACCAACCCACAGTCTCCATGCCCCTGGCCAGCATTTTTTACTGGAACAAGAACGAGGAAGAAGCATCACCTTTGTCATCACAGCCCACCACCACCACCACCACCAGCAGCACCACCACCACCGGCACAACAACTATCCCCAATGAAAAGAGCAACACAGCCTTCCAGGGATGCGAAGGCAAGGAAAGGAGGAAAGAGCAACAGGAAAGCAGAACTTCAGTTGGAAGTTGGAAGGTTGGGGTTTCGGTATGTCTTCACCAAGATTCACTAGGTTACAAACAGGACACATAATCTTGGTCATTATTGTGGCCGCTAGTCCGGGGTTCTTTCAAGCATTAATGATCAGAACAGTGCTTGACGGATTTATGGTGTTTTTTTGGTTCAGAACACGGGGGAAACACCCTATCGGATGCAGAACCATTGCATTGGAAGGAACCCACCAACCACCAGCACGCAGAAAACCCATCGGAAGTCCCATAGACGCACCTGCATACACCCGAAAAATTAGCATGCTTTCCCCACGAGAGGACCTTGAGAACACGAAAGGGAAAATTCCCCAAGAACCCCAACAGACCCGCACCTCTGGACTAGGTAATGCGGCGCTGCATCTACGACCGAGGAGCCTGCATCACGGCCGAAACTTCGAGTTGCCAGAAAGAGGGAAACCATAAGGTCAGCATGGACTATACACCAAGAATTCCTAGACAAGATGGGGTTGGGAGTTTAAGGTCTAAGGTTTACGGAATCGAGAATCAGGCTTGGCAAGGGTCTAGGGTTTACAGTTAGCAAAGAAGAGGTTTGGAAGGATGCAGCGCTCAGAGAGTTAGGGTCGCCAGACCTGAAAAGGAAACAGATCCCAACGTGCATGCTAAAAGACGCGAAACTCCAAAACAGGGGCACGGTGTACGGCTTGGGTAAGCAACCTTACGACCGTAGATTGACAAGTGGACTGCAGCCTGAACTCAAACATCCGACCCCACCACCCACCCTGCTCCGCCGGCCTAAACCCCACACGCAAGCATCTAGAGCACCGAACACTCAACCTCAACACCCCCGTGAAATCTAAACTGCCCTCACAATCGAAACCCTGATTCGCAGAACATTAAGTCATTGAGCCGCCATCTTCAAACCCCGTCGCAAGGCCTTCCGGAAATCGTAGCAAAACCCTCCTGAAACACTCTACGCACCTCTACAGTGAAATCCTGTGAACCCTGAGTTTGGGGACTCTGTTGACATGGTAAGCCTGCCCCACAGCACTTCACAAACGGCGTTGGGGCGTAGTATACGAACTATACTGCCCTTACCAGAGTAGCTTTGCTCCTGACCCTCCCACAGAATCACTTCATAAAACCAAAGAGAGCCCAAGAAGCTCCCCAAGGAACCCTCCTTACGCTCCAAAGCCTGCCAGGGCAGCCAGGGCAGCTTTTGCAACGGCCGTCTTAGAGATTTGAGCGGCGCCTGGGAACAACAATGTGGGGGCTCAGAGTTTAGGGATTTTAAGGGTTAGGGTCTGAAGATTTGGAGTGTTGCTTTCGGGTTTCGAGTCTTGGCCTCGCAGCTTTCCACTCCACTTCACATACTCTCTTGGCTGAGAGGCTTCTTCAGTTTCGTCTGACGTTGAAGGGCTGAGGCATCTACTACAAGGGCCAAAGCAACTAGCAAGAATATCCTCTTAGAGTCCCTGAATCATAGCTACATTACAATGAACCCATAGCACCCTATTCCTAGCATAAATAAGAAATACTACTCTTTGCTGCGAGCCCTATTCCCAAAGAGCCCGAAGCCTGAAACCCTAAGAACTAAGTACCGCAAGAACCCTGAGACTCCGACCCTGAAGATCCCCCGACCCCAAGCCCAAACATCCCTTTCCACTTCTTTGTATTCACTAGAGGCTGACCGTCCTGAAAGCTCGTTCAATTGAGCTTCAACTGGGCATCTCATTTTGAGGAGTTTCAGCATAACAAGGGAAGCTTGGTTGAACCCGCAAGCAATGAAACGGTTCGTAATTTGAGCTGGACATGCCATGGGAGAGGCTTTCCATCTCGGTCAAGACAAGAGGAATCAGTAGTGAAATATAGGGAACTTAACAATTAGAATAGGGTTTCGTGGTATATAATGCGATAACCATAACAGGGAACCCCAAAACAGAATTGGTAATTCAGGCCCCTATGGTACTACCTGAACATGGAGAGCGTTATTGCCAAGACCGAAGTGAGATTTCTAGTTCCTCGGCTGAGCGCCGTCGGTCAGCCTTTTCTCTGCAAGCTTTAATTCTTCCTGAAATTGCAGCAACGGCCTATCCAAGGGATATCGGGGGTTAAGGTTCAGGATTTCAGTTGTGTGAGTTGGAGTTCAAGATAAAAGTAATGGTTTAGGGCTTAGGACCGAGGATTTAAGGCTTAGGAACCCGAAACCCTGAACCCTAAACCCCCCTTTCGGTTTAGGCTGGGGCTCCTTGCCAGAGTCGTCGCGGTTCCCGCGCACCGCATAGAAGAGCAGAGTGCGGCCCTGCTCGTCTGTGCCGGAAATCGACCGCCTTTGTGCGAAAGGCCGGGCGCAGATGGTTTAGGGAGTAGGTGCCCTCAACCCTAAACCCTAAACTGTTGAGGTTTGGGGTTTTGACTGTTTGAATTGCATAGCGGCCTTGTGTGTGTCGCACTCGCCTCTTGCAGGCTTGCACTCCAAGAGCACGGCTTTCGCCACTTGGGCGGAAGATGCAGCAGACTAAGCGACTAAGTGTCTGCCTCTCCGATCTGCAGGCCCCGGCCCCCTAAAGCCTAAGCCCGAAGCCTAAGCCCCCAAGCCCCCAAGCGCCTGAGCCCCTAAGCCCTCAAGCCCCTAAACGCCCTAAAGCCTGAGCCCATAAACCACCCATCTTCCCGCAAAAATCATTCCTCTCAACTCGGAGCCCCTGACGGCTCCTTGGGGTTTTGGGGGGGTGTTAGGTTCTGGTCCTAAGAGTTAAGGTTTGGAGCTTTGGGTTTAGGGTTCAGGCCTTATTTAGAGTTTAGGGTTGGGGTTTTTGAGCGTGTGGGCAAACATCAGTGCAGACTCGAAATATGCCGTGCACCAAATAGTAAACGGCATACAGAGACAAAAACGGCAGTGACACATTTTGCACTTACTTAGTAGGTAGACATACCAAAAATCTGACATGAAACATACACTTGGCAATCTCGGCTGCCACCTCAAGCAGAACTAGAATGCAAATGTACCCTGTCTCCGAAAGAGTTCTCAGAAAACCCATATCAAATATCGGCTGCCGTAGAATGTCCCCGAAAAGTCCATGTACCCTGAAGAACGCCATGTGGAACTTTCAGGGAACAAGGGACGCCTAGGTTAGAGACTAAAGTCATTGTGGCAAGGATACCTTAATCAGGTATCCGAATCCACCAAAACGTTTTGAATCCATTACAAAACCCTCAGAAAACCCTTTCAAAGCGTCATCAACCCTTATAAAAACCTCTAGATCTTTTATAGATCCTCTAGAAACACCCTACACCTCAAATCCTAAACCCCCAAACGCGGTGGCCTCAGCACAGACGTCAAGATCTCCAGGGTTTCTGTGTCCTCCTGGCGCGCGGCGATGCGTGCCTCGCGACACAAAACATGGGCTCTTTTAAGGGCTCCCTTTAGGTGGTACGTTTAGGGGCTCCTTTAACTTTTGTTTGGAGCGGTGGCTTTGGGTGTTCGTAAAGTTTGCGGTGGAGGTGGGTCTAGAGGGTCTACAAGCGCCTTACAGGGCTTCTATATGGGTTTTGAAGATGGTTGTTGCTTTCTCTGGATGATGTACGGCTTCATAGGCACACCAAACCTGGCACTCCTCAATAATCAACTCGTTCCGGTAAACCGTAAGGAATGCACCAGCATGTTTCCCTACTTTCGAAGTATTGATTCCAATAAGCGTACAGAGAATCCGAGCTTGGTCCATGCAGCAAATCATATGCTAGTGTTCGAGACAGCTAAAATTCTAAGGATTTTAGGAGGGACCCCTAATAGGGACCCTTAATTCCACTACCTTAAATAACCATTGTAAAGTCCTTATATACCCCTTAAATAGCCAGGTAGTCTCCATATTAACCCCAATAACCTACAAGGGTCCCTATTAAGGGTCCCTCCTAAAGCCCTTAGAATAAACATGTTAAGGACATAATTCAGTTCTATCGTTGCTGCTGCGTGGGGTAACCGTTCATATTGCTGTTCTACAGTATAGTATGATCAATAAATTGCTCTGCTTGCTTCGATAATGGGCACGACACCGTATGCATGTGTTGAGCGATGGAAAAATTAAAACAAAAACATGCAAGAGGCTGAAAGGCTCGACGAGACATGCAAGACATGAATTTGCCTGTAGGGGAAAGCAATTAGACCGACAAAAAGACAGACCCCACGAACAGACGAGAGAATACAAAGCCAACCATTCTGACGACAAAGTCAAGGAAAGGCGACAGAATCGCTTCAAAGACGAGCTTGTTGCCTGTCCCGTCTGCAATAGTGGTATAGAAAGCAATGTAAACATGCTCAACACGAGAAGTCAGCATTTTCCATCGAATCAGATGGGGCTTTCGGGAGAGAAAGCTGACTAAATTAACCAGACAAGATCCGAGAAATGAACGGCAATGAACACCAGTGTTGTAATACTTGCCGTGCCGTCTCACCACCGCAGTTAAGCCCGGTAACCCCAACAGAGAGAGATATTCAATTATGCATATACAAATTCGTATGCGCATAGATCGCTCATGTTCCATAGCAAATGTGGTTTCGCTCAATCGGCATCAATAGTTAGATATCTGGGTATATAGATAGATAGATAGATAGATAGATAGATAGATAGATAAACAGATAGATAGACAGACAGACAGATAGGTAGATAGACAGACAGACAGACAGACAGACAGACAGACAGACAGATAGAGAGATAAATATGTTCTGTTCACATTGGAGTCACAACAGCCCTTACCCGAAACCCAAGCCCAAAGTCTGCAAAGATGCCCCAGCCTGATGTGGAATGATCGCAACGCTTTAGGGCTTAGGGTTTAGAGTGGCACCTGGTGCAGGCGTGCTGCGATTGGGGCTTCTTCCTAGAATTGCAATCTGGGGATGGTGAAGGTTGGATGCTGCTGTTGAGATCTTGGTTTAGGGTTGTCGTATACTTCATATCCCCTGCGCCAAATCCTTGCACCCCCCCGGTTAACATTGCGCCCACCTCCAGGCTCAGGGGAGGCTTCGAGGGGCTTTGCTCAGCCGCTGCGGTGGCGGGATTTGCGGCGCCTGGCTCTGCTGATTTTTCAGCTTCGGGTGTTCGCATCTCGTGCTCAAGCTCATGGGCGTGTGGAGAAAGGATGTGTAGCCCTTGAGAGAGGGGCCGTTTGGAGGGCTCCACACTCCGAATCTCAAAAGAAAGATCACAGCCTTTTACTTCTAATCCTGACTCTTGGGAACAGGCCCTCCCCTAGGAGCAGGAGGAGAGTGTAGAGCAACACCAACTAATCACCACTGAAGTCCCCAGTTTTTCAGTCTTCCACACTCATCAAACCCTTTCTCCCTGCATTTCCCGATCCTCCGAAACTTTACAGAGCCTATCACTCCCATCGAACTATGATAGCCTTCTAAATCCCCTGGTGACTTGAAACCCGTATTTGACTTTGAAGTCCCAAGCCCGAAGCCGAAAGCCTACAAGCTTCAACGCCAACTAGGGGCTAGGGTTCAGGGCTTACGGGCTTAGGGCTTCGGCTTGGGACTCCTAGCCCAATCAGCAGGGATTGCCGGGATTCCCTCCCCTAGTGCTGCCCAGAATCCTTTCCCCGACTTTCTTCACCAAGTTCGAGAAACCCTACACTTTTGCTCCTAGCAAATCGTAGACCCAAAGCTCAAACCAAAACCCCAAACCCGAAAGTCTGGGCTCGGGCATCGGCTAGCTTTTCTCGGCAGCTTCGTCTACCCATGGTCTAGCGAGGCGGCCCGAAACAGCAGCAGTGGAGCCTGTAACGGTGGAAGCAACCAGCAGTCGGAGCAAGCAGATCAGATCTGGCTCGGCCTTCTTTGTGAGCCCCGGGTGTTCGGCTGAAGACAGCACCACTCAGACCGTCAGACCGAACCGGGTGGCGTGACGGGACACGGTGCTCGAGGATGTGGGCGCTGTTGGCCTGGCTGGCATCTGAGGGATGCGCTTCTGACCATCCTGACCGCAGCCACTTTGAAAGCCGGCGATCACCGGAGAGCGAGCGGCGGCTCTTCCTTGACTGAGAAGTTGAAGCCCTCGTACGCCCGGAACAAAGGAGCAAAGAGCTTAGACATATAAGGCTTGGAATTGCCTTGGAAGTGGAGATTGCGCAGGGTGAAGTTGTCGGCCACGGCTCGGAGGATAGACCTGTTCAGGGATTCGCTGTGGACCACCTCCACTTTCCCACCAGCCGTCCTAACGTGGCAACAGCTGTAGTTCCGCGCATTCCAGCCGTGGGCAGAGTCGATCAGATGGCCCTGCGTCGGATAATAGCCATTGCAGATGCGGTAGCGCTTCGTTGGCGGCATCAGATAGTCAGGTAACATTTCGACATCAGGGCCCGGCGGTGGTACATGGAGCTCCTGTCGGGTGAAGTGGGGTGGAAACCGAACATACTGCAGGAACCAGGGCTCGCCATCTGACCAGGGCAGTCCCTCCGTATCGAGGCTGCCCATGGCATAGAAATACCAAGTGCTCATTTGGTTGATGCCTGAAAACAAGTTCTTCTGGATGGCGTACCGGAGCCATATATAATCCTCAAACATGGCGATGTCGAAATCAGTCCAATCGTTGAGCACGTCCAAACTGAGCACGCCACCCATAGATCCCAGAGCACTGTATGTGAATGGTAGCCACTCCTTGTTAGCATCCCACCTGAATCGCCAGGTGATCTCACTTTGACACTTTCTCGGGAGGTACGGCGGGACGATTACAGCAACATCGGCCTCTGCATATGCCACGTACTGGATGTCCTCTTCCTCCATCCAGGCTCGGACGACATAGTAGTTCAGCACATTGAACATTTCGAAAGGCTCTTTGTGACCACGGCAGCAGCCGCCCAACACCGTGCTGGCTGTCATGTTCAGATTCTTCATGTAGAGCGATCGGAGCTTCAAAAACTTCGTGTCTGCGTACTGCAAGTAATCATCGAGACGAAAGCCTTTCCGTGCAAAGGCCGGTAGTCTTGTCTCGAATTTTGGCAGCAGCGACGGGTCGGTGAGTAGCACCACAGTTGGGACGTGTAGCAAGCTTACAGCCAGCGTCCGATAAAAGTAGTCTTCGACAACGCAAGGCCCAGAAATGTTCCACGCCACTTTGTTCTCCTCGTCAACCAGTGTGTCGCCACAGAACCACACGTACACTAAAGGAATTCCTCTTATCCGGCTCTTGCGCGGAGTATGCCTCGTACGAGGCCTCGATATGTTCCTCGTACGAGGCCTCGTTGTGCTGTGGTCATGCAGGGCAGGGACGAAGCCGATGACGGAAGCCTGGTCAACCAGAACGACGGCAACCACAACAGCTCACAGCAACACAACACCAGCAGCGGCTGGCAAGCATCATCGCCGGAAACACAACAACCCACATAGACACCATCACCAGCCTTATCATCAACTCCATCCTCGCACCCTTATGAACATCAGTACCATCGCCATAACTGACATACCATCACTGTCGGCATCATAGCCAGTACCACCACCAACATCAACATCATCGTCTACAGCAACATCAATGTGGCCAACATCGTCGTCAACATCTTTGCAAACACCGCCATCGCCATTGTCCTACATTACAGTACGGTTACCGTCGTCATCATCAAACGTCTCCACCATCGGAAACATGGGCACCAGCATAATCATCGTCGTCGTCATCGCCACCATCTCGATCACATGGTCATCATCATACTAATTGTCATCATATGAGTCATGATTCCCATCTCCTTCTCGTTCACCGTCATCGTCCACATCTTTAGCATCATGGGCATCCTTGCCTTGACCATCATCGTCATCAGGCATCATCATCATCATCATCACCACCACCCGTCAAGATCGTCATCATCATCATCACCGTCATCATCATCATCATCATCACCGTCATCATCATCATCACCGTCATCATCATCGTCATCATCATCACCGTCATCATCATCATCATCATCAGCAGCAGCAATATGATTTCGTATTACCGGTGTTAAGAAAACAGACAAGAGTCATGCGGATGATCATCCTAATACCCAAAGATGCCTGGCTCCAGTACCAGGCCAAGAGAAATGTCAAAGGAGTTGCAAGGATCAAGACAGCCGCAGCTGGTCGGGCGAACCGGTTGCAGCGCATGGCAGTTTCGGGCTTAAGGCTTCAACTTCTTGCCTTGAGGTTGGGATGTGGGGTCTGGGGTCGGGTTCTGGAACTGTTGGTCTCGGGTTTACACTAGGATCAGGAGTTCAGGACGACATTTTACACATGTGGTTCTGGCTGCATTGAACTTGGCAACTTAAAAGCGCTCGCTTCGACGAGCCTGCCTGCGGCGACCTGTTTTGGTTCTGCGATCAGATGCGAAGTATTCACCAGAAATTGTTTAGCACATGATAGCACATGAAAAATCAATTCAACAGTCAATCCAAAACAGCACTGCTTCAGCATCGCAGCTGGAACTTACAATGAACTCGAATCCCTGACCCCAAGAAGCCCTCAGCTCTAAACACCCCTACACCTGACCCGACCCAAGTGGGTTAGGGTTTAGGGTTTAGGGTTTAGGGTTTACTGGTCAGAGAAGAAGCTTATATTACATACTCAACTTGAAAGCTTAAGGTGGGTACTCATCCAAGCCAGCTTTGCAGAGCGTTCAGCGCAGCACGAAGAAGGGCTTCATTGAGTCATATTCAAGGGAAGCAAGGCATCTGAACCCTGAACGTTGCACTTCTGGGCTCTGATGGGCCCTTAGGAAAGTAAGGGAAACACCGGGAATGGCCTGGTGATGGCAGCTTTTCTGGTGCTTGCTCGCCTGCCACCAACAGAGGGTCTAAGGTATGTGATTTAAGGTTCAAGTTGGAGCTTGAGACTTGGAGCTGGGGGCTTGGGATAGGGTTGTTTTGCTTTCTGGCTTTGGGTGTACCGGTTTTGGTTGCGGCTTTTTCGTTTAGGCGATCTACAAGATGGCAATAGGCCGGACGGGCTTGTCTTCCCCATGCGTCACCCCACAGAACTGCTTGCGGCAACAGCAGTGCCTCAAAGCCGTAAGCCCGTAAACAAACCCCAAATCCTAAACTCCAGCCCCAAGTGAAGTAACAGAAACCGCGCAGAGTTTAAGGTCCAGGGATTCTGTTCAGTCGGCGCAATATGAATTTGGATTGAATCGGACTAGTGAGCTTCCGCCTGGGGAAGGCCGTGGCGCAGCTGTCGTTCCGGAGTCCCCAATCAGAAATGACCTGTGGGCCTCTCAAATTCCGGGTCCCAGGCCTCTCAAGCTAGGGATTGAGCACCCGATGGAGTCAGGTTGCCCATTTGATTAGGTGTTGTGACGTTCTTAGGTGATCAGCCACGTACCACTGATCTAGGAAATAGACCTTACTTAGTGTTTCGGGTGTAGGCTACTTGGGGATTGCATCTTTCTTGGGATCGGACTGATTGGTGCTGCAGCTGTTGCAGGTGGCGCGCCTGCCATCGAGACACGCTGTGTTGGATGGAGGTCTCAACAGTTTCACGGTTCCTGTGTCTGGGAATTCGGGTTTTGGGGGATGGTTTCGGGTCAGTCCGAAGTTGGCGTTAGCCAGACGACTGCCAAAAGGTGTCATCCATGTTTCAGGCAGGAAGGTTTTGGGTTAGGGATGAGGGCTTCGGGATTGGGATGTTTCGGTCAAAAACTGAATTACTTGAGCATTCCGGGTGGATGTGTGTTGATCTTTTCCAGCTCCAGACCTCTTGGAAGATTTAACACATAAGAACCCTGACCCCAAACCCTAAAGCCTGACAACCCCAAGCTTAAACCTTGAATCGAGACGCGACGACCTGGCTTGGAGGCGAAAGCAAAGCAGCCATCGAAGCATGAACACGCCGACATCCTAAACGGGGTCCTTTGAGAATTCCTTTAAAGGCTCCTTTAAAGGGATCTGTAAGGGTCGGCTTGGGACTTTGGGTTTAGGTGTTTTTCAGGGTCCAGGGCTGAAGGATTTGAGGGGATAAAGGGAGCAGGGATTTAGGCTTTGGGGTTTTGGGTTGTGGGGATGAGGTGTTTGGGGTTAGGGGCTCTCGGTCTAGGTTTTGGATTGAGGCCTCGTACAAGGTGGTGACCCATTATGAGTGGTATGAGTTCCTCTGACGCAATGTCATACTACAGTTGGCATGTTGGATCCTTCTCCATACTACTTACTTAATCATCAGACTTGATTTGTAGTGCATCTGTTCTTGGACGCGAGTCAAGGGCAGGAGCCACAGAGACGAAGGCTTCAGGAGCAGGCGACAAGTGCAGTAACAACAATCATAACAACGAAAGTAATACCAGTAACAAACAACGTCACAACCACTGTAATAGTTCTAGTAATCTAGTAGTGGTCGTGTCAGAAGTAGTAATTTTCACAGTCATGCTCGTCATAAAGTTGTTCGTTCATGATGCTGGTTCGCAAGCGTCAGAACCAATTGCTGCCAGCCAGGTGTGGGTTTAGGGGATATGGGGTAGAAGGACTTGGTCAAGGGGCGATACCTTAGACGCCCCTGACTTCTTCGTGGAACCCAGAAACCCTGAACTAACTTGGAGCTTGAACAGACAGACCAGGATCCGTGGGCCTGGTCACCTGTTGTAGCAAGGTGCCCTTTCGAAAAGTACAGGCTGCATGTACATGAATCGCAGGATTCTCGTCTTCGCCGATGGTAAAGCAGGAAGAGGGTTCTTTCGCAAGGGTGCCGTCATATTCGCTGAGCTTAAAAACTAGGACCCTTGCAATGGGGCACCAAGAAAGACCAACTTGCCAGTCAAGATTTGCATGGATTTACATTATGTCCGTTCATTAACGACCTCCAGTTGAACTGTGCCAGATAGGATCTGCATAGATTTCTATTGTTGCCGTTCCCTTCACGACCTCCTTCTACCATCTGTTTCAAACTGTTCATACAAGCATAAACTAGAAACCATGTGGCTGGGAGCGCAAGCTTTTGTGAAACTGGCCCGCCGTCATGCGTCTCACATGCAGGCCTTTGTGCCAGCAGATGGCATGGGCTGAAGCCGATGAAAGAAGGCCTTCATGACCCGACTGTCGGGGCCTTAACGATGAGAACTGTATTTTGGGGTATAATAAAAACTGAATATAGTGCGGGCCTCTCTGTAAGCTTTCACGCTCTTGTGGGCCTAGGTTCGTGTCCAGGGTCGCTCATCGATCGAGCCTCCCTAAACCCCATGTGGTCCTGTAAGGTCTCCTCACGTCCAACGGGTGAAGCTCTGCACACAGTCTAAACCCCACATCTCCCCCCAAATCTCAAACCGGGTTCAGGGCTGCGGCGTTCAATTCAGAAATCTGGGTTTACAGTCGGAAACCCTAAACCCTAAACCCGATCCGATCACTAGCACATCACAGGAACATGTCGCCAGCACGACCTCGGAAGCCAAGAGGGGGGGACAGTTGAGCTTTTGGGGGTTTAGGCTCAGTTTAGGGGTTTATTGGGCTCAAGGGATCCACCTTTCGCTTCTT